GCCATAAATAAAGAGCAAGACACCCCCAAGGCTGTCATCTTATCACCACACCCGTCTCTGCCGAGCAGGACACAGACAGGAAGGAGAGGCAGACAGAAGATCACTGTGCAGGAAGCAGAGCAGGCCAGCCAGATGCGGGTGGGTCAGCTGCGAGGCCTGAGCGGGGGTAGGAGAGCTTGTGTGGCAGGGGCTCCCCGGGGGGTGACATGCTAGTCACGGCCTCTGTCCTCCCAGGGGATTGCGGCTCTGTTGGCAGGGGGGTGTTGTTGGTAATCCTGGGAGGGGGACCAGTGGCCAGTGGCCAGCCCCACTGGTGACACAACTATGTTCTGTGTTGAAACTTTTCCAAATGCTGCGAAGGTGTTTATTTGGCCTGCTGGAAGGAAGGACAAATGAGGGACCCAGGCTCCCCTGGGCACACATAACACGTCTGGAGCTGAGAAATAATGAAGCATTCAGAAACCGGGGCGCCCCCAGGGACTGCCGTGTGAATGGGGGAGGACCAGCGGCAGGTGGTGCCAGGCGCCCCACAGTGGAAACGGGTGCTATATTGGGATCTGAGGTGGTACAACCACCCTGCCCCAGACTCCTGTAAAAATAGTAGGGACGCTCATGCTTCTAGTATGATTCAGCTGGATCCCACTGAACCGGGACTAGACCCGCAGCCTCCTCGCACCTTCTTCTCTTCCTGTAACTCTCCCCTCTGCAGCTTGGGATTTCTTGGAGATGTTTCTATAAAAACAGGACTGCCATCATCACTGCCGTCACCGTCACTGCTTTACAGTAATGAAATAAGGTGCCTCGGTGACTTCCTGTAAGCTTTGGACCAGATTCGTCATGCAGTGTCTGTGTTTGAATGGCAGTGACTCACCCATTATGGCACCATGAACTCTGACCCCACAAGGGGAGGGACATGGCAACCTGACTTTGGCCTGTTCTGTGATGTTCTTCTGTTGACACCCGTAGCTACTGAAGGCAAGGAAAAGGGACTGGTGGGGTGTGTTTAGAATCCACACTGGCACATGAAGTTTTGGAAATCCCAAAGCATCCTGTTATTTTCTTAGGATCCTGCTATTTCTGCGGGCTAGGAAAAAATGTCTTCACAGAATTCATCCTCTTCACCGCCTCCTTACTCAGCCCACCCTCCAGAACCAAAACCAAACCCACCGGCATCTCTCCTCTCCATGTCCCCACACACGTCCCCACCCCACCACGTCCCTGCCCGCGGAGGCCCTTAGAATTCTCCCGTGTGGAATGAGCGGAAAGATGTGTGGGGGCCGCTCACCTCCCTGGTGGGCCTGCAGGGGTGCAGGGAGAGGCCATCCCAACACCAGCAGGATGGGCGCGAGGAGTGCCACAGGGACCCGGCCTGCTGCCGCTACGCTCAGTGGTTAGGACAGAAGCCTTGGGCACCGGGCATCCCCCGGGGTCCTCTTGCCTGCAGGAAGAGCTGCCTCTCACATCTGGGCAGAGTGCTTCGGTAGCTCAGGCTCGACTATCTCCCCAGGGTGCCAGCTGGGCCACTTGCCTTGGCGCAGGGACCTCTGGGGACCTTATTTCTGCTTCCATAAGCCTCTGAGCATACCTGTGTCCTGGTCCTCACCCAGTAGAGCCTGTGAACTGCAAGGTTGCTGAACATCCTGAGTGCCACGGCTGCAGCTGCTGTGGCATCCTCATGCATGATGCCCCAGGGCCCTGGCTCAGATACCGCATCTCAGCCCAGCAGGGCCAGTTCCGCCAGTGCAACGGGTGTGTGAGAAAGTTGGAGACTCTCAACCTAAGGAAGAGCTGTCCACTCTGAAAGAAAGATGGTCTGTAGAGAGAGTAAGTCTACATACGGTTTCACACAACCGAGATCTTTCTCCCCCTCACTTGAATTTTAAAATAATAGATGATCTTCCAGACATACAGAATGTTCTGTGCTGTCTTCAACCAAAAGAAGAGTAAAATTCAGAGCAAATAGATTTAAATATAAAAATACAAATTACAGAAGTCCTAGAAGAAAACATAGTTTTAGAATATTGACGACAACTTCAAACAGGAAGCTTAGAAGCCATAAAGGAAAAAGACAGAAAATATTCAATGTCATGACAATTTATGTCACATGCAAGTAAAACTAACACGGACGAATATGATTATGAGAAAGGAAAAGACAAATTACCATAACCATAGGAAAAGATTGGAAATTACTGGTAATCGGGGAGATACAAATTGAAACAAGGTAAGTATTTTTTGTCTGTCAGATTGGTATAAACTAAAAGGGCAAGTCTCCAGAGATGACAAGGGCGTGGGAACATGCCCTCTTCCTGCAATTACCCAGTGTAGCCTTTGCATATGGAGGTTTTCAGAAGCCACAGGACAAACTATGATAAAATTTAAGATAAAATTCCTTTGTGTGTGTGTGTTTGTACTGGGGATTGAACCCAGGGGTGCTCTACCATCTACCACTGATCTACATCCCCAGCCCTTTTTAATTTTATTTTGAGATAGGGTCTAAGTTGCTGAGCCTGGCCTCAAACTTGTGATCCTCTTGTCTCAGCCTCCCAAGTTGCTGGGATTACAGCCCTATGCTATCCTGCCTGGCAAAATTCCACTTATAAGGAATCTTTCTGTGGGCATATTGACAAATGCGTACTATCACACACATGTGCACAGACACACATGCACACTCTTCTTCTGGTCATAAGAAGAAGGAAAAACAGCAGACCCCTAAGCATCGGCCAGCTGGAGAATGTGACTCGCATGGATGTGTGTTCTGCAATGGACGACGTCCTTCAAGAACAAGGTTGATTTACCTGTGTTCTTGTTTAGAGATGTCTGTGATGGATTAAGTGGAAAAAACAGAGCAATACATTGCACAGCGATCCCACTAATTAAAAAGCAGTAGCCAGGGCTGGGGGCGTGTCAGCCTAACAGGTAGTGAGGCCCCTGTCCATCCCAGCTCGGTGGACAGGGCAGGCGCCGGATTCAGTAGTGTGTACTCCGTATTGTTTGAATTTGCAAGACATTTGGTTATTTTTATAACAAAAATCCTTTTCACAGGAGACACAATTAGACAAATAATGCTCATAGAATTAAGGAAACGAAATTTGTGATCTGCTCTGCATAGCTTTCCGTGTTCAAGGAAAGATGGCCTAGGAAGATGTCCTCTGGGTATAGTGTTGACCCTGAGGCCTGTGTGTGGGACCCCTTGCGGTCACCCTCACATTCCTCTCCCTCTGTTTCCACAGAGTAGTGAAACTATCTTGAGAAAAGAGACCCCCTGTGACCCTATGGCACGCTTTACCCTGAAAGGCAGCTTGTGAATCTCCTGCTACTTACCTGTCGATGAGGAGCTGTTAAACCAGATGTGGTTGGGGTTCCATCTGTCCCCGTGTCCATGGCTCTGGCCTGATCAGTGTGAGCACCCTGCCTCATAACTAGCTCATTGCTGGTGCCACCACCCGCAGGTTGGAGGCTGGCCCTTGACGTAGAACCCAGGGCTCCTCACAGCTATCCTTGTTGTCCTGTGTGGCCAGTGTAGCTCTCTGTCCATCAGTGGTGGCTGTCCTCGGGGGAGCCCACCCTAGGCCACATGCCCGAGCTCCTGCTCTGGGCCCAGGTGTGCTCCGGTCATTGATCAGTCAACCTCACTTCAGAGCCACTGCCAGGTGCCACCAGGTGCCAGACACCAGGAGCACTGAGTCAGTAACAGGAGCTCGTTGTCACACTTTCACAAAAAGCAGGCAGAAAACACATGAAGCTGTGCCTAGTGTCAGAAGAGGTGAAGGGGGTGCAGACAGGCAGCTGGGGAGTCATGTGGAGCATGGGGGTGAGGTCCTGAGAGACACAGGGTCAAGGCCAGGCATCCCAGACCTGGGAAGGCATGTGCCAAGGACAAGAGTCCTGGACATAGTGTGTCTAAGTCAGCAAACATGTCACGGTTCCCACAGCCTGTGGGCATAGAGTCCCTTGATTTGTGGACCCCAGCTGCAGTGGTCCCCAGCCCTGCACTCTGCAGGCAATCTTGGTCTTTTCCAGAAGGTGCCCACCATGAAAATTTCTAGTAAACCCTGGACCTTTAGGGGAACATAAATTGGGGAGATTCCTCCCTATAGGAAAGAGCACTCAGGCAGGCTCCGGGGCTGATCTCTGCACCAGGCCTCAGGGGTTGTCCAGAGCAAAGGCAGGCACTCAGGGGGGTGAGGAGCCTGGCCCTGGGCATTGGCTGCCGGTCCCCAGAGCCACTCTGGGCATTGCCTCCTGGGCCTCCTTGAGTCATCCGAGTCCAGCGGAAAGAGCTGAACTCCTTGTGGCCTTTCACTGGCAGCGAGGGTGCCCTGGCCTGTGTCCCGGGCCTCAGCGGCTCTCCATGCAGTGCATCTGCAGCTCTCAGCTCCCAGCTCTTTTCTGGGGTGCACGCAGCACTGGCCAGGCTCTTAGAGGAAGGTGGAGGATGTCATCTGGCAGGATGGGGGAGAAGACGACTGGAGCCTGGGCTTCAGCTTCCAAGGGCAGGCGGGTGGACAGGTGACTGCTCAGCACCAGGGGGTGGCCATGCAGCCTGCCATGGCAAGCTCTTGGGCTGGCTGTGGACTCTCCCCTGACCACAGGGCAGTCATCACCAGCAGCTCTGGAGCCAACAGGACAACTTTATTAAGGGCCCCTCATGAGATTGCAAAAGCAAAGTCCAGGAACAGTGTTTGGCAGCACCTCGGGCCGCTGGAAAAAGCCCCCTCTCAGGGTATCCTCAAGACAAGGAAGCCAGTCTGGAGGTGATCTTGGGCAGTGGGCCTGCACCTGGCCTTGGTGTAGCTGGAGCTCAGGCTTCAGCGTTCCTCCAGCCCCAGGTGTCCCAGTCATGTGCCAGCTCGGCCACTGCGCTCATTTTCTTCTTCTTCGAGTGGGGTCGTGGTTTTTGTCTGCTGTGGTCATACGGGGCCCTCGCCGCCTGGCTGTGCTAACTGCCCAGGCCGGGTCCCCTGCAGGGCGGAGGCTCACACTGTCCTCTTCTCCCGCAGCGGAGCTGGAGTTCGCCCAGATCATCATCATCGTCGTGGTGGTCACGGTGATGGTCGTGGTCATCGTCTGCCTGCTGAATCACTACAAGGTCTCCACGCGTTCCTTCATCAACCGCCCGAGCCAGAGCAGGAGGCAGGAGGACGGGCTGCAGCCGGTGAGTGTGGCCTGGGCTGCCCCAGGGTTCCGCTGGTACCTTCTTGGGCTCCAGAAGTCAAGTGGGTCAGACTTTCACATCAGCCGCTGTGGTTCGGGGAAGTTGAGGGCGTAGGGAAAAGCACGTACATCCTAAGTGTTCAGCACCCATTTCACAAAGAGACATGACAGTCCCCCGGAAACCCACTCTGGTCCCTCCCAGGCTGCCCACTGCCTGGAAGCGGTCTGTGGCACAGGCTAGCCCAGCCAGCTCTTGAACCCTGCATCCCCTGGGAGCCCTGCAGGGGGCGCTGCTCTCCCTCGGCATTAGATTTGGGTAGTTAGGTTGAAATCTGCTCTTCAATTTGGCCCGGGGGGCTTCTGGTGATGCTCCTGTGTCACAAGATGTGCCAGTGAGGCTTGGGCGTGGGTCAGTGGAGGAGACAGGTGCGGCGGTGGAGAGCAAGTGCCAGCTCAGGTGAGGGTGATGTGCTGCTCACAAGCAGCCAGGTGAACCCTGTAATTAGGGTTCGAGCCCTAATTAAAGTTTTCTTTCCCTGGGAACCTTCCTCCCCTGGTAAAGCAGTAATGTCCAGCTCACCTGCTCTGTGGACAGACCCGGGAGACCAGGAGCTCTAGAGCTTTCCATTCTGGGCCTGTTTCACAGTTTGTGATCCCAATGGCTCTCAGCGAGACCAGTGTGGAGTCTTGGTGGGCGTACTCAGCCTCTCTTGTTTTCTGAGACAGGAGGTACGTTTTAGGGCCGTATGATAACTGCCTCCTATGGTGACTTAGGGAGTCTGTTGGGGGTGTGAGGTACAGCCGTCCCATTGAGTATCGTGGAGTGACATCTGGGCCCAGAATCCCTGAGGCCCCTTGGGACTGCAGGATCCTGCTTCATTGGGGCCATAGAGTCACCCAGGAGCCGATGACTTGGCCATCCCCATGGGTGGAGGTAAGGTGTGCCTGTGTGCCAGGTCAGGTAGAGGGCAGAGGTGGGTACCACTGGTTCACCCTCCCACCTCCATTGCCACTGGAAGGGCAGAGATGGCAATCATTCCTAACAGCCTCTGCCCCGCCTCCTGAAACCTCACCTGCTTCCCCTTAGCCTTCCTGGTCCCCAGCCTCGCCCACCAGGCCCCTCCAGCCCTGTTTGGTTGCTTCCTCACACCATGGTGGTTCCCAGGAGCTTGTCATGTGCACCTTCAGGACTGTGCCGTCTGCAGTCACTGAGTGCCCTGGTGCCCCAGGACCACTGTGTTATCCAAAGAAGAGAACCAATTGTTCTGAGCATAAAATACACACAATGCTCCTGAGTCTAGAGGGAGCAGGAAGAGAATCTCATCACAACAGCGATTTGAGAACCCCAGAAAGATCAGCCATCTCCTCCTTCCCTTAGTAAAAGGACTGTGAATGTCAGCCAGGTGGTGGCCGTACTACAGCTGTCCCCCATACCTGACCACCAGCAGCAAGCCAGAGGCCAGTTTTTAAAAGGCAGGCAGCAGAACTCCAACGTGCTTTTGCTTGGAAAGGGTCTTCTGTTTCATTTGGAGCTGTGTTCCCAAGAAGCCCTCTTCAAAACTCATGGGCACCTGGGGCAGGGGACACTGGCTGGCTGACCAGCAGGGCCTCCCTCTCTGGAAACTGGAAAGGTGATTTAGTGACTTTTGGGGCCTTCCAGTCTTTCCACTGGGCAGCAAGTGAAGTCAGTCACTAGCTAGTGAATGGTGTCCCCAGAAGTCTTCATCCTGGAGCTCCATCCTGTCAGCAGGCATCTGGAAGCTGTGCCCCGAGAGCTGGGTTCGGGCACAGAGCTGGGCCCGTGCAGGGGCAGCCCACACAACAAGGCCTTTGATTCCTGAGCACGGTGCTCTCCTTCCATTTCTCTGAGTGACCCAGAGCTGGGTGCTGCCCTCAAGGCTGGTATATTCCCTCTCAATGAATTGCAATAGTGGGTCCCCACATAGCCTGGCAGGAGGCTCCGCTTAATGCCTCATAAAACTGAGGTGCATTTCAACCATGACCAGGGTGCGTGGGTTCCCAACCTCAGCCCTGTGTCCTGGCTGGGACTGTCAGCCTAGCTTAGGGTTCCACCAAAGGGAAGAGCACCAACTAGGGAGAAGCAAACCCTCCTCTGTCCTACACACACACACACACACACACACACACACACACACGAGTCCCTGTTACTCCGCCCCTGACAGTCCCTCACAGAAGCCCTCTCCCAGAGGAGGTGTGCCCTCCCCCTCCAGGCCTCCTGTCCCCTAACTGCCTATTTCTCCCTGGTTATTTTTAAGAATGGCCAATACCCTTCCTCCACTATCAGGACAGCAGTTGGTTAGTTCACACTAGTGATTCTCAACCAGGGGTGGTTTCACCTCCCTGGGGACATTGGACAGTAATGCTAGGCCAGGTTGTCACAACTGGGGATTGCGGTTCTATAGGGAAGATCTAAATATTCTGCAGTGGCCAGGGAGGCCCCACCCAAGGGGTCCCTGAAGTGAATAGTGCTGTGTCTGCCCCGCAGGTTGCCCAGGCGCCGTGCTGATGGATGAGGGTGTACAGCGGAGGGCTGGGCTGGGGCCCTACTTTGGGAATGATTGGTCCAGGCACTCCCCAAACACCTACCAGAGCCTGGAGGACACCTCCCCATCATCCCTGCAGGGTCCACCCGCCATTGTCTCGGTCTTCCTAGGGGACGCTGGGGATCTTGCCAGCCACTTGAGCTTGTGGGTGGGCTGTGTGTCAGGAAGTAGCTGGGACTGGCCCGACACCTGTTGCCTCCTCTACCCTGGTGCCCAGGCCTAGTTGGCAGTTTTCAAGTTGCCCTTCCAGGTTGCTTTCTCGGCACCCCAAAGTGCTGGCCTGTGTCCACCACCCTCCCTGGAGGAGCTAGCAGGAGCTGGACAGGGGCATGGCTGGGCTGTCACAGCAAGGCAGGAAGGGCTCTGCTCCCACTGACCACATGTGGGCGGGCCTCCCAGGCTGCCCCTCGGGTGTTCCAGTCTGTGCCCCTTGGGGCAGGTGACTGGTGAGGACGTGGGTATGTGCAGTGTGCTCTGTCCACAGCCCTGGGAGCTGCTGCAGCCCTCCCTGTCAGTGGGCTTCTAAGTCCTAGGGCTTTCCTCCCTTGAGTCCTGTGGAGCAGGTGGCTCCAGAGCCCTGCTGGCAGGCAGCCTGTGGGTGCAGGGCGCCCCTGCAGGCCTCTCTGTGGGGACCGGCTCATCATTGCCTTGCAGCGAACACCTCATATCTGCGGGCTTTGGCCCTTGTGAGTTCTCATGAGCACATAGGTAAATATTTGTTTAAATATTTGCTTAAAACTGGTTGCAGAAACCTCACTACCCCCTTCTCGTTAATGGGCTTCCCACTTTGACCGAAACGCCAGACTGAGGTTGATAAAATAGACCTCAGTCGCCCTGAGGGTCCTTGGTGCTGGGGAGAGTCAGTGGCTCTCTGTGGACCCTTCCTGTGGGGGCACCCAACATGGCTCGGCTTCACAGGGACCATGCGGTTGCCACAGAACAGACACTCTGCCCCTGACTCAGAGACCCTGCTTTCTTAATGGGCACCTCCTGCCCTTGTCCCTTGTCTGCATCCATGTGTGTAAGAGGAAGGACCACAGAGGGCATCTGTGTTCCCCAGGGCCACTCAGCCTTCACCCCCAGTGTCTGTGACACGTGTGTTCCAGGGAAGCCTGAGGACGGTTGATCCTGGCCCTGAATTTGGTTGAAGCAGCCATTTCTGAGTGAAAATGAAAAATAGCCACCTAGGCTCAAATTAAATTGCAAGAAAAGTAAAAGCTTCAGTGAGGCCAACCACAGCGAGCGGGTTCGTGATCTGCATCTCCAGTCCTTCCTGAGGCAGCCCTGAGAGACCTGGCCCTGGGAGACAGCGGGTGGGCAGAGGTGGCTGGGACTTTCACTAAGTTTGGACACATGCAGTTATAGATTCTCAGCCATTTTTGACCTAAAATCCAGCGATTTCAATTATGCCTGGCATTTCTTCCTTATCAGCTTCTGCAGGAATTAAATCAGGTGTGAAAATCCAGCTCCCTGGGCCTCCCCAAGGAGACCCTTCTTTAGGCCAATTCTGTAGGAGACACAGGCCCACAGGAGGAAGGAGGACATTTCTTCTGTCCCCCAGGCTGTTGGACAGGAAGACCAGGACTTTGTGGTTGTTCCCTCTGTTGATGCAGAAACTTGTGTTCCTCAGATCCAAAGTGCCCTGCAGGGGGCAGGTTGACACCCAAAGACGGCCCCTGCAGGATCTGCAGAGATGGCCTGGAACGTGGCCAGCACATGTCCTTTCCCCCCCCAGAGAATTCTGACAAAACCAGAATCAACTTTTTTAAAAATTGGGAGATGTGACATAAAAATCGGAATTGGCATCTTCTCCACTTCTCAGTGAAACCGTCACTGAGAAGCCAGGCCTCTGCTTGCCTGTGGCTGTACCCTGTTGCTCTCTGTGGATCCTCAGAGCTGGGGGACTGTCACTGTCACTAGCGTAATAGTCATGTTTTTAAGAAAATACTCGGTGGCACCTAGGCCTCAGCCACAGGATAAAAGCTAAAATAGAAAAGACCACTGGTTTCCAGAAAAATGGAGGAGAATGTTCTTGTGGAAGTGAAAACCATTCTTCCTAGTTTAGGGGTACAAACGTTGGGGGGTCAACAGGATGCAGAGTGTCCTGCGCCTGGCCAGACATGGTCACCTGTGGCCCCCACAGCCCCCCACCTCTGTGGCTAGAGCCTGTGGCTGAGAGGGAAGAGGGGGCAGTGGATGATTTGTCTTTGCACATCTGCAGCTCAGCCTTGGGAGCAGGGGTGGCCAGAGGAGGCAGTTGCCGGTGTGTGGCTAGTGGCCAGAACACCTCTGTGCTCAGGAACCTGCCATGCTAGGCTCAGAACTCACTGTGGGAGGGACCTCCCCAGGGTCGCTGGATGTGGCGGCTGCCTTTTTTGGCCTAGTCCACACTCCTTCCAGATCTTCCCTAAACAGATGCTCCATGGGTGTGTGAGAG